TGAGGGGGAAGCCACAAAGTTGGTGAACTAATAAAGTATGCCTTTAAATCGTTTTCCAAGATATTTTTACCTAAGAGCCAATTAACAAAAACTTTTTAACCTAACCTCAAGTCATTATTTATTTAAAGCTTTGCTTTAGCTATCATGTACACCAAAACCTGTGAGCACATCTCCCAACATTAAGGTTAAAAGAATTTAAGCTATCTGGGCTACTGGGACTCAATTGTTTTTCTTTCTTTTTTCTTTTCTTTTTTTTTTTTGTTTTTTTGAGACAGGGTTTCTCTGTGTAGCTTTGGAGCCTGTCCTGGAACTCACTTTGTAGCCCAGCCTGGCCTTGAACTCACAGAGATCCACATGGCTCTTCCTTCTGAGTGCTGGGATTAAAGGCGTGCAGCACCACTGCCTGGCTTCAATTGTTTTTCTTAATCATTAACCTAAGTCACTAGTCAATGTCTATAGGGCTCTTCAAGAGACATTTTCTCATTCTTATTTTCTATCCTCTGTAGCCCCTGCTTTATAAGGGGCAGGGGCAATATTGTATCTTAATTTTAGCTATATTAGTTTTTCCACTAACCTAACCTTTAACATAATCTCTTACTGTATTTATTGAAGACTGTCAATCATCAAAATCCTATTTAAGCCAGGTGGCGGTGGTGGCGGCGGCAGTGGTGGCTGCAGTTCATGCCTTTAATTTTAGCACTCGGGGGACAGAGCCAGGCAGATCATTGTGAGTTCAAGGCCAGCCTAGTCTATAGAGTGAGATCTAGGACAGGCTCCAAAACTACAAAGAGTAAACCCTGTCTTGAAAAACAAACAAACAAACAAACAAACAAAACAAGAAAAAAAATCCTATTTAAACTAACACTACTATTGTGTAAAGTCATTACTTTAGTTACAGTACAGTTTAGGAAGAAATCATCTTCACAATAATCCATTGGTAAAAATGCCCAGCAGAGCTGGATGCTTCCATGAGGTAATCACACTACGATAAAGGCAACAGGGATCTTCCCATGCCCATTCACACCATGCCAGATACCAGTGAAAAATGGCAGCAGCAAACATATAAACACACAGCAGTAGCAAGAGACATTATGGGGCTGAAGCCCTTGGGGCCTTTCCTATCCAAGATTCACCTATCAAAGCTTTGCTTCCTGGTGGGCTGACTTCTCTAACTTTAATTGCCACCTGCTGCTCCTCTGACATGCACTTACCACTGAAATCAGTCTAGATATATCTAGCTGGCTGCTGGTGGTATACACCTTTAATCCCAGCAGAGGTAGGTGGATTCCTGTGGGTTAGAGGCCAGCCTGGTTTACAAAGCGAGTTCCAGGCCAGCCAGACTGCTACACAGAGAAACCTTCTCCCCCAGTAGTTGCCAGGCTGTGGTGGCCCATGCCTTTAGTCCCAGCACTCAGGAGGCAGAGGCAGGTGAATCTCTGAGTTCTAAACCATCCTGGAGTACATAGTGAGTTCCAGGACAGCCAGAGCTTCACAGGGAAACCTTGTCTGAAAACCTTGTTTGAAAAACCAAAACCAAACCAGACCAAAATAAAAAACAAACAACCCCCTTATTCCCTACCAAAAAAAAAAAAAGAAAAAGAAAAAAAGGAATTAGTCTAGATATGTAAATACAGAATCATTCACTTCACAATCAGTTCCTTCAATTTTATGTTTTCCTGTTGTCACAGTACGGGGAGGTTCATTCACCTATATATGATGATACTGTGTATAGGACTGTTACTATGGTGTGTGGTTGCTTGTGTGATTGAGACAGGGTGCTGAAGGAGAGTTTCAGCCATGCCAGGTGAAGCAAAGGTTATATTTTCAAAGGTTCCTGAGGAAGGGGAGGTCTTTCAGGAAGCAGGTTTGGTTAACATATGACTTATGCTGCATGACTTAGTGACAAGGGTCACTCTTTCTTTGGGAGTGGCGATTATTATTGCATGAGCCATACAACATGACAGTAGTGAGGCTGCCTCCAACCCCTAAGAGGGGAAGCGAGGCCTGGGTATGTTCATGCCTCACATGCAGCCCTATGTGATTAAGGCCTAGTTACCTGAATAGCCTTGGTTCTCTTACACCAACAGTGAAGGTTTTAATCTATATGGTAATCATTGTAGTCCATTCATAAGTCAATAATATCAGAATAGTTCTTTGATATTTCTTTTTCTTCACTATATAAGCAGGGGAAATTATAATGTAAAATATACATGAGAGCCTTCCACTCCTTAAGAGAAGCTGGTTCTTCAGGTTCCTGTTTATAAGCATAGAGTAATTGACTAAGGAGAAATGTGCTGTTACTGGATTTGGTGTCATTTGAGGATGTCACTGTGAACTTCACCTGGGAGGAGTGGCAAAATCTTGATGATACTCAGGGTGCTGTACAGGAATGTGATGCTGGAGACATACAGCAGCCTGGTGTCCCTGGGTAAGTAGTCTCAGGAGCAAGCAGTAAACATTTCAGTGCAGTAAACATTGAACAAATGTGAGACCTAAAGCTGTTTAGGGGTAAGGTTCTAGGCCACACATTAGGATTGTTCAGTGCTCTCTAGTGAAAGGTCCACATTTGCACTTTGGTTGCACAGATCTTAAAACCTGTTTTTGTCTTTCTTCAAAGAACCTTATTAGCAGAAATTTTCTCTAAGCCCTACACTATTTTTTATTACCAGGACAATGTTTTCCTAATCCTGAGTTGATCTTCAAATTGGAACAGTGAGAAGAGCCATGGACAGCAGAGGAAACTGCAAACCAGAGTCTGCCAGATTAGTTGTACTCATGGATGGGGAGATCATGTCTAGCATAGGTTGGCCATTTTACCAATTTGTCCCAAGTTCCATATCTGAGGGCACAAACTTGTTCATTACATACTCTACAAGGAGAATTCTCTTGAATATGTTCCTACCTTTCATTTGATGAAAATTTTCTAAGATTTATACTCGAAGTCTAATCTTTGACATCTGTTTTTTGATAATTTCCTCTGGTACTTCTTTTTTCATAGTTTCAGTTGCCTCTTACACTCCAATCTCATGGGGATTTTGTTTTCAGACATTTTTTCATGTGTTTGTTTTTGTTTTAGCACATTTTAATGAAGCAGATTTCAAGTGCTGGTCATTTTATATATTGAACATCAATAAAAATGTAAAACTTGTGTCCTTTCTTCATGGAATTAACATTTTGGTAAAGGACAGATAAGTTTATTTACACTAAGGAGTCACAGTAAATCTATATGTAATGTTGAACCAGAGTATAGTGAGTAACAGATGGTGTTTAAGTTATAGAGTATTTTACTTAGGTAGTTGATAAGAAAATAGAGAAAGAGATCTAAAAGTTAGACTTGTGAGGCATGACCTAAGAAATCAGAAGGAGGACCCAACATAGGTAGAGGTGTTCCTACTTAAGAATCAAGGAGAAATGAAATATGTTTTCATATTGAAGAACTCAGCACTGGGCAGGTGTGGTGGTGCACACCTTTAATCCCAGCAGTTGGGAGGCAGAGCAAGGTGGATCTCTGTGATTTCAAGGCCAGCCTGGTCTACAGAGTGGGTTCCAGGAAAGGCACAAAGCTACTCAGAGAAAACCTGTCTCAAAAAACCAAAAAAAAAAAAACAAAAAACCAAAAAAAAAGAAAAAAACAAAAAAAACAAACCAAAAACCTCAGGCTTCTTCTTCTTCTTTTTTTTTTTTTTTAAAAAAAAAATGGGGAGTATAGTCTGAGCGCAGCATTCCCCTCCATTTTCTTTTCTTTTCTTTTTTTTATTTATTTTTTTTTTTTTTTGGTTTTTTGAGATAGGGTTCCTCTGTGTAGCTTTGCGCCTTTCCTGGAACTCACTTGGTAGCCCAGGCTGGCCTCTAACTCAAAGAGATCCACCTGGCTCTGCCTTCCGAGTGCTGGGATTAAAGGCATGTGCCACCACTGCCCGGCCCCCTCTATTTTCTTTCTGTCATTCTAAAGCAACAAAAATAATGAGAAATGGCAGAAGATTCTACTTTTTATAAAACTAAAAGAAGCAATGTCTCTGTAAACATGATAACATCCTTGAAAAGCTATGGATTATAAGACACAGGAGTGTGTATCAACAATTTGGAGGTGAATGTCAAAGCTCTTGAGATCACAAGTAGATAGACACTTTAGAGATGATATATAACATACATATTTCCCCAGGGTGGTGGTGAACAGTTGTTTCCTTGTATTTATTCTGGTTTTGAAAAGAATAGCACATGTTGTTCTGTTAAGACCTCAATTACTGGTATCTGTTTTGTGTGGAAGAGGAAAGGAAGAAATTTCATGTTTGAAAAACTCACAATCCATGACCACTCCTGAAGTAGTAATTCTAAACCAACTAAGATGCAAATTCATGGCCATAAGGGAAGCTTCAGGTTAGGAAGCAGTCCATTGGACTTCTCTCATAATCTGCAAAGAAGATGTTCTAGAAATTATTGCCCAATTTATACCAGAATAAAGAGAATGCAAGAAAGATAAGGTCACAATTGTCATATATCAAAATATATATGAAAATAGAACATTGTAAAAAAATGTAACCATTATCTGAGTGGAAAAGTATGCCGAGCAATTAATGAATATTTCATTTATTTATTTATTTATTTATTTATTTATTTATGGTTTTTCAAGACAGGGTTTCTCTGTGTAGCTTTGGAGCCTGTCCTGAAACTGGCTATGTAGACCAGGCTGGTCTCAAATTCACAGAGATCCTCCTTCCTCTGCCTCCCAAGTGTTGGATTAAAGGCGTCGGCTACCACCACCCAGCTTGATATTTTAACAAAATATTTCTTCACAAAAATAAAATAAAGTGAGAAAAAATATGTTAACCTATTAGTGTGTTTCAGTATGTTATATCTAAAGTTTATAAATTAATACTTAATATGATCTTAAAACACTATGCTAGTAAGATAGGAAAAATTTCTTAGCATGAACATGAGAATTCCATTAGAAAACCTAAAGTGTAATTCACAGAAATGATTTTTTTTTTTGGTCCTTTTAGGTTTCTACAATGTGGATGGCAACCTCACTGAACACCAAGAAACATACTCAGGGAGCAAATCTTGTAAATGCCTTGAAAGTAAAAAAACCTTTACTAGCCAATCAGACCTTACAGTTCATCTGGGAACATATAACCAAAGGAAAGCCCATGTATGTATCCAGTGTGAGAAACTCTTTAGCACTAAATCTTCCCTTACTAGTCATCAGAGAATTCACACAGGAGAAAAGCCCTATGGTTGTAGTAAATGTGATAAAACCTTCTGGCATAAGTCAGCCCTCATTGTACATGAGAGAACTCATACTGGCGAGAAACCCTTTGAATGTTACGAATGTGGTAAAGCCATCCAACATAACTGGTATCTCAAAATGCATCAGAGAACTCACACAGGTGAGAAACCATATGAATGTAAAGAATGTGGAAGAGCATTTCTAAAGAAGTCATACCTCAAAATGCATCAGGGAACTCACAAGAGTGATAAACCATATGAATGTGAAGAATGTGGAAAAACCTTCCATAACAGGTCTTACTTCAACACATACCATAGAACTCACACTGGTGAGAAACCCTATGCATGCAATGAGTGTGGGAAAGCCTTTGACCAAACATCAGACCTCAGGAGGCATCAGAGAATTCACAACAATGAGAAATTATATGAATGTAAAGAGTGTGGAAAAGCCTATCAAAATAAGTCATACCTCAAAACTCATCAGAAAGTTCACACAGGTGAGAAACCATATGAATGTAAAGAGTGTGGAAAAGCCTTTCAAAACAAGTCATATCTCAACAAACATCAGATAATTCATACAGGTGAGAAACCCTATGAATGTAGTAAGTGTGGGAAAACATTTCAGTGGAAGTTAGTCCTTAGTAAGCATTATAGAATTCACATAGGTGAAAAGATCTATGAATGCATTCAGTGTGGGAAAATGTTTGGCTGCAAATAATCTCTCATTGTACATGAATTGATTCATTATGGGGAGAATCCCTATGAACCTAATATATGTAGAAAAACGTTTTCACAGAAATCAAACCTAAGTAGGCATCAGAGAACTCACAGACATGGGGAAGTATGATGATGATGGGTATAGAAAGACATTTAAGGCTCAGAATGCTTCAAACACTCCGACCAAGAATTCCCTTGAGTGTGTGTAGTATAAGTGTTCTTTCTGTAAAACAACTCTCAGTTAACCTGAGAGAACCCTGACAGGGTTGAGAAACATTAGGAAAATATTGAATGTGAAGGAAAGTTTCACCAGAACTTGTCCTTAAAATGTTATGAGAAAATTCACACAAGAGGAGATTTTCATAAATGTAATACATATGGGAAAATGTCCCACACTTCAGGTCTATACTTGGAATGCATCTAAGTATTTACATAGGAGGAAACATGAATGTAAAAGAATATAGATGCTTTAAACATGTTTTAAATATATTTAACTCATATTGGAGAAAACCTTAATGAAAGTCATGAATGTGGAAAACACTTTTTATAACTGAAAAAAATCTATGAATAGAATTAAAGTTGAAAATCATTTTGGCATCATTCATGCCTTAATATGCATGAGAAAGTCTTCACTGGCAAAAGACTCTTCTAGAAATGTAATCATTAGAAAACTGTCTGGAAGTCACACCTTGTTAAATATGAAATAATCCTGTGAGGAAAATCTCTGTGAATGGAATAATTATGGAATCTGTCCAGTAGAAATTTCCCCACAGCATGCATCAGAGAACTCACTTGAGAAAGGAATGCCTATAATGTTGAAAGCCCATTCATTAACTATACATCACACCTAAGGAAATATCAGACAGCACATTCTAGGAAAAGTCTTATAGTATTGAAGAACATCCAGAACATGTAGAAAAGAGGCATTGACATATATCACAAAGTGTGTGCAAAGGAATAATACTGTGTAGCAGAGTGGCTACGTGTCCCCCAGAGAACTTTTTCTTATATCTCTGGACCTAGCCTGCAATTCTCAGCCACTACTATGGCCATTACAAGTTAAGTGAGCTTTGCTGGGAGACTATGAACTCAGCTGATATGCAATATTTCTAGACTTGGCAACCCAAAGAACAGCAGGCATTGTTTTCCAGTTTATGTCAAAGTGAAGTCAAGGTGACACACTCCCCCCCTTGTTTTTGAGACAGGATTTCTCTGTGTAAGTTTGTCACCTTTCCTGGAACTCGGTCTGTAGGCCAGGCTGGCCTCAAACACACAGAGATCCTCCTGCTTCTGCCTCCCGGGTCCTGGGACTAAAGGCATGCACCAACACCACCTGGCCCAAGGACATTCTTGCAAACATTGGGGAAAATTTATTGGGATTGAAGAATTGATTGAAGAAAACAGAGATCTTTCACCTTTGTCTTTGTGCCCTATGCCTCGCATATTAGTGTGAAATAAATGTTTGTAATATTTAGTCTTCCCAAGTGTGATCTGTTCTCATTGTACTACTAACAGGTCACTCTTGATAATTCATTTTATGAATACAGGGAATCTTTCTGAGAGATGTGAGTAGCCTTTTATCACTATATTCATACAGAAGAGAAGCCTGCCTAATCATTTGTCACTTCCAGCTTAATTCTAGAAGAATCAATTGTGGAAAGATCACAATGAATCATTTTTGGGAATTTTCTTTTATCATGCAGGGTTATCTCACTAAAGAAAAAACAGATCACTGTCAAATACTTTTATAGTATTTTCCTTTTTCTTTTCTTTTCTTTTCTTTTCTTTTTTTTTTTTTGAGACAGGGTTTCTCTGTGTAGTTTTGGCGCCTGTCCTGGAACTGGCTTTGTAGACCAGGCTGGCCTTGAACTCACAGAGATCTGCCTGGCTCTGCCCCCCCCCCCCAGGGTTGGGATTAATGGTGTGTACCACAACCACCTGACTTTTCATTTTTAAAAAATTGTAATAAGAGAGACTTACCAACTTGTGTATTATACATATGGATACAAGTAATGTTAAACATAATTACTTTAACAACAAATATTTGAGTATTGGCCAGGCATAAAACATGAGTGGTGATATAGTCTGTGAAGGTACATTTGACTGAGTCTGGAGACATTCTTGTCTATTTAACTGGATGTTGGGAGCTGCTGATTATCAGCTCCTGGGTAGAAGCCAGGGATCTGGTACATTGCTTAAGAAACATTGAACAGCCTCCTCAGGTTAGAAATTTTTTTTTTAATTTATTTTGTAATACAATTCAGTTCTACATATCAGCCACAGATTCCCTTGTTCTCCCCCCTCCCTTCCCCCTCACCTTCCCCCCAATCCCCCCCCCCATTCCCATCTCCTCCAGGGCAAAGCCTTCCCAACAGACTGAGGTCAACCTGGTAGACTCAGTCCAGGTAGGTCCAGTCACCTCCTCCCAGGCCGAGCCAACCAATCCTGCATAGGCCCTAGGTTTCAAACAGCCAACTCATGCTACGAGCACAGGACCCGGTCCCACTGCCTGGATGCCTCCCAAACAGATCAAGCCAATCAACTGTCTCACCCATTCGGAGGGCCTGATCCAGTGTGGACCCCTCAGCCATTGGTTCATAGTTCATGTGTTTCCATTCATTTGGCTATTTGTCCCTGTGCTTTATCCAACCTTGGTCTCAACAATTCTCACTCATATAAACCCTCCTCATTCTCGATAATTGGACTCCCAGAGATCCACCCAGGGCCTAGTCATGGATCTCTGCATCCAGATCCCTCAGTAGTTGGATGAGGTTTCTAGCACAACAATTAGGGTGCTTGGCCATCCCATCACCAGTGTAGGTCAGTTCGGGCTGTCTCTCGACCATTGCCAGCAGTCTGTTGTGTGGGTATCTTTGTGGATTTCTGTGGGCCTCTCTAGCACTTTGCTTCTTCCTATTCTCATGTGGTCTTCATTTACCATGGTCTCCTATTCCTTGTTCTCCCTCTCTGTTGTTGATCCAGCTGGGATCTCCCGCTCCCTCAAGCTCTCTTTCCCTCGACCCTCGCCTTACACTACCCCCACTCATGTCCAGGCTGTTCATGTAGATCTCATTCCATTTCTCTGTCATTGGGCGATCCCTGTGTCTTTCTTGGGGTCTTGTTTTCCAGATAGCCTCCCTGGTGATGTGAGTAGCAGACAAGTCATCCTTGTTTCATGTCTAGTATCCTGCTATGAGTGAGTACATACCATTTTTGTCTTTCTGAGTCTGGGTTACCTCACTCAGGATGATTTTTTCTAGATCCATCCATTTGTCTGCAAACCTCATGATGTCATTGTTTTTCTCTGCTGAGTAGTATTCCATTGTGTATATGTATCAGGTTAGAAATTTATGTCAGAAATTTCTCTTAATGACACCTTAACTGTGACATGATAATACATACAGCTCATATAATAAGTATTGTGACAAATCATGTGCTCTGTCATTTTCTGTAGCTGTAACAAAACACTTAATGTTTAGAACTTCACCAGGAGATTAAATTTATTTTGATGGTAGTTTCTTTTTTAGGTTGAAAATCCAAGATCAGGTAGTTTCATCATTTTTGCTTCTACTGTGGGCCTGCTTAGCTGTTTTACAATGTGTTGAAGAGTTGTAAACTGAACAAGCTATGTGTGGAGAGATAGCAAATGTGCTTTGACCCTGCATTAAAAGTAATACACAATTATGGGAGTAAGCCCAAGATTAGCACTAATCCCTTTTGTGGCATTTTCCCTTGATCCAGTTCCTCTTCCCTCCTTTCCTTGCCATCTGGCAGAGGTTCACTCACCTTTCAACACTACCACACATTGGGCCAAGGTTTACCTAGCACATACAATTTTGAAAGGATTTTTACCCTAACTGCTACTGCAAGATCATGTTGTTTTAAGTATGAAACATAGAAGAATTATACATTTTCTACTAATGAATGTAAAATTTTAATTTATTTAAAGATTTTTGTTGTTGTTTTGAGACAAGTTCTCCTTATTATGTAGCTTTTGCTGTCCTGGAACTTGCTATGTAGACCCATCTGACCTTGAAATTTGCTATGTAAACTAGGCTGACCTTCAATTCACATATCTACTTGTCTCTGGCCGCACCCCCAAGTCTGGGTTAAAGGTGTGTGCCAACATTGCCGTGCAGTTTCTATTTTTATTACCTAAATCATAAGTAAAACACATCTCCCCAATGTCTTCAATGTGCATAGTTACACCCATTAATAAAAAAAGCATTTTTGTAGACATGTACAATCCTTGCACATTACTTTGAACAGATTAACTGTTAATTACCTCAGACAGCTGTGAACAATGGTAATATTTTATTCCATCCAGTTAAATGTAGTCTCTGGAAGATGAATTTCTAATGTTGAAATTGGTACCTGCACAGGTATAGGTATGTATGCGAAAGGATGTGTGATGAGTTACTCTGTATAATTGAATCTCCAGTTATGGAATGCTAGGTACATGCCCACTAATAGCTACTTAATTAGTAAGCTTTGTTTCCACTACACTTTAAAGAAAAAAAGAAATGTATTTACTTGACTTTATGTGCGTTTTGCCCGAATAAATGTATGTATGTTATGTATGTCCACCACATGCATGTCTGGGGCCTGAGGAGGTCAGAAGAGGTCCTAGATGGAAAGCCACATTCATTTTTATCCCATCTCTCTTGCATCTTGAAAGATCATAGAGAGAGAAAATGTGGGATGGCCATGTAAAAACTTTAGCTACGATTTCTCAAAGACAAGCATTACTGGTGTAAGCCTTTGCTTCTTCCCCTACTTTTGTTGGAATGACTGTACAATGGAATAAAATGAAGCCTGTTTTAAAATCTGCCCACAAAGATACATTTACAAAACATTACCGTGTTCCAGCAATATATAACACAGGGGTTTTAATGGGAAACAAAAATAAAGTTCAGAGACTCTAGCCAGGGAAACAGGCTAACTGTGGATCATCACTTGTCCCTCCTCTCTTCCAAATCCAATCCCCTAGTCTGAGCTCTAAAACTCCTCCTGCTTCAGCAGCTCATCCTCTGTGACTCTAAGGATTAAAGGTGTGAACTACCACACCCAGCTAAGCAGGAACTCAGGAAACCTTGTTGTGGAGATTTGTTTGTGGATACTGGCCATAGA